TGGTACTATTTTATATATTAAAATTACTGTTATGTTTTAATATATTATTTATTCTTATTAGATCAAATACTTATGTATATATATTTATTTATTTATTAATTTATTCTTAAAAGTTGAATATGTTACATGTAAAACATGTAAATCACCAGATACGATCCTTACAAAAGAAAATCGTATTTTCTTTCAACAATGTGAAAGTTGTGGATCTACTAGATCAGTTTCTGCAATTAAAACTGGTAATTTTATTTATATTATTCTTAAAACTTTTGACATATATATAATGATATACATATATAATATATATGTATGTATTTTTCACCCTATAATAAATAACAGGTTTCAAGGCACAAACAGAAAAAAGAGCAGCTCAAAGAAGAGCAGTACAATAAAATTAAAAAAAAAGTTTTTTTTGGTCAAGGATTATTATCATTATCATTATCATTATCATTATCATTATTATTTCTGTTCTATCATAATAAAATTTTAGTATATTATTTTCATCTTTTCATTGATTTCAAAATAATTTGTTCCACTATCTCTATAATTTCATTTGATCATTAAATAAATTAATTATTTAGGTTTTATTTTTTTTTGCTCAAATAATTGTGCGCGTATATTATTGTTACTATTGTTGTTGATCATTATCATCATCTTCTTCCCTCATCTTTGCCGCCTCCACAATTAGTGCACTGTAACAGAATTCAGAATATTACAATCAAAAAGAGAACACCAATTTCGAATAAAATATAGGATAATGATGAATCAAAATTATGACATAGAGTTAGTCTTTGATCACATACACAAATGTGATTCATTATCAAAATAGTTTGATTGGCAAATATAATAAAATGAGAGATATTGGGTTAAATTGATCAGTTAATGGGAAAAATTCTTGAATTCAAAGAAATGTGTATGTAATATTTCGAATACAACAATGAATGCAATCACTAATACTAATATTGCATCTTTTTATAAATCGCCAAGTCTAACAAAACAGTCTATTTGAAACTCTAACTTTCCTTGCTTTTGAGAATTGAGAATGTATGTTCTGATGACAGAAAGAAAAATAGTATTTCACGAGATGACTAAGAAAAAATGCGTGGTGATCATATCAACATTGATGTGCGGCTCATCAAGTCAACTATTTTTTAAACCTATTGAATTTCGAACTTATGTTTAAAGTTGATGTTATGATTATATAATAATATATTCCTCTTTATTCCTATACATTATGACGAATATTTTTTGTATTTGATCATTGAATCTCTACATCTCTATATCCTCTTAAGTTCTCACGTTCTCGACTATATAAAGAACCTCGAGGAACAATGTGTAGCAAAGCAATGTAAAACAATTCGAATATTAGAGATATTACGATTGTCTTTTTAATATAAAATTGGTCGAATGCTTATATTGCAATGGGTAACCATTTCATATATATATATATATATATATATATATTACGTAATATTAATAAGCTATATTATATATGAATAGAAGCCATAGTAAGAATTTAATTTTACATGGCGGAATCAATTGGAAATAATCGAATTTTTCTTTAAGTGTCTCGCTAATTCTAATACTTTATGTGATATTGATTTTAATAATTTACGAATATTATTTCAAATATGGATTTATTTAGTGACAAGTATTATGATAATACTTGCCACTAGGGGTTGGCACCGTTAACCGGTTAAGATATTTTTTTAACCGGTTAACCACCATTTATTAATTTTTTTTTATATATTACAGTCAAACCGGACCTCGCCACAACACATTTCTTGTTACAACGAATTTAAGTATTGTCCCCTTATTAATATTATTTAAAAAGTTTGTCATAATAACAACGGATTCTACTACTAATAAATAAATTTGTTTCACGGATTTTTGATGAGGTCTTTCTATATGTCCACAGCAGATTCACGTGACATATAAATGTCCAAATTACCAAAATTGATAGAGGAAAACTGCAATTCTCCCTTTGGAAAATGAAATATCTAATAATGAAATTGAAAATTCAAGAAATATAGTCGAAGAGATTTCAAAATGATGTTAATAATATAATAGTTGTTGAGAGTAACACTATGTCTAAAGTTTCAACGAAAGATGCCGTAATTTCCTTTGAGATAGCTTTTAATTTTCTTCAACAAAGTGATTTAGAATAGATTGTAAAGAATTTAAAGCATTTAAACCATTGAAAAAAGTGAAATTATTGGATAATACAACCAAATATTACATCTTATTTCAACAAATAATTTTAATTTCCGTATGTATTGTTCATTTATTCATTATTTATTTCTGTATCTAGTTTATTAATTTATTGCACTATACCAAACCTCTCTATAACGAACACTAAGTAAATTTCTCTATAACGAATTTCCCTTTTGTCGCCCGTCTCCGATTCAATTTTTTATAATTAATTTCTCCCTATAATGAACAAAAGCAGAAAAATGCATATAATGGACAGAGGGTTCGGTATAGAGAGAGAGCTTTGTATTATTACCAATTTTGCCGCTGCGGATTTCTTGTCATAATAATAATAATAATAACGGATTTTTTTGGCTGGAACCATGAATCCGCTGTGGCGAGGTTTGACTGTAATCATTTAGCATCTATTAAGTGTATAATAATAAAATTCAACAGCGCGTGATTATTTTGTAAGTAAAGAACGATCGAATTTACCAGTTAAAAAAATTCCACGTGACTAAATTAACCGGTTAACCTTTAATAGAATCTACAAACGCAGTAGACAAAACCGCATATCAAAAAATAACCAAAAAATTAATTAAAATAATTAATAATTTGATTTTTTTGATTTATTTAAAAATCTATGGAAAAGAGTTCTCTGAAATAATAACTTCCCTCATTAAAAGTGCCAAATTCACTGTTGAACAAGTAAATTTGATTAAGAACCTAATGTGAAACCAGAAGGTTTTCTTTCAAAAAAAACTCAGAAAATTGTCACAAAACATTAGAAAAAAAGGAAAAAGCGACACTCTAAGATGGGCAAACAAGTTTCATTCAAATAATCGTGTATATATTAATATATTTGCGGAATTTAATTACGAAACTTTTATTTACTATTACTATCACGGTTTTTCCATTTGTATTTTCGGAACTAACTATACTGATGACTCAATTACCGATCATATCCCTTTTTTCAAGTGGAATAATGTATGCCACAATGCTGTTGAATGGCCATATAGAGCACAATATTATAATATATATGCTCCGACAAAAGAAACCAATTGGTGGTGTGAAATTAGCCAAAACTAGAGTTTCGAAAATCAAAAAATTTTGACTTTCTCCTCTTCAAAATAGTTTTGGCAACCAACACTAGTGTAAATACAAAACTTCATCTCTTTCATTAATCCACTTAATCGAGACTTTTAAAAGGTATTTTTTTCTGACAACATTTTTTCCAACTCTTCCCTATGATACAATTTGCGTAAATTGCAAAGTGAAGAAGCATGTAATTTAAAATATTGTAAACAAATGCCATTGTTTTTACTATATACAATTAATTGTTTTTTAAAAATAAATGCCATTTTTTTAATTGTTTTTACTATTTACAATTAATTGTTTTTTAAAATAAATAATAATAAAAATAAATGCTCCTATTTAAATAGGACCATGTTTTCCAATGTTGCCTATTTTCGGTTTTTTTCTACAGAACCCCCTATGATTCTTTTAATAAATTTTTTTCTATTTAGAACTTTACGTATAGTCAGCAGATTATATGACATAAAATCCTTCACTGTTATCAAAATTTTCTTCGAATCCCAGTCCAGCT